GCCAGGGTCACTCACTCAACAGAGTGCTTTTCACAGCTTTACGAGATTCTGAGCTTTAAATTCAGGAACAAGAAAATCCATTCTTATCCAGTGACTCCCAGCTGCCTCAGGCAGAAGTAACAAGCATGGTGACTCCCGGCACACACACACACATGCCCCCACACTCGGCTCAGATCCTGCAGAGGGAACTCACAACGGACCACGCTGCAGCCTCATCACGGCACTTCAGCCAGCGACTGCCACATCACCCAGACAGGAAGCTGCTGTACCCCTTGGACTTGAGTCTCCTCCCCGCCACCTAGAGCTGAAGTCAGGGTGAAGTGGCACTGACAAGGGGGATCCTCCTTGAGAACCCTCTTTGACCCCCGAAAACCTGAGACTCCACTCACTCACAGAGAGAAACCAGGCTCTAGGTGGCACTAGCAGAGGTCCAGGAAGTACGCTCAGTCCCAGCCAGTCCGGGGAGTCCCCCCTGCCCCCCAAACACACACACACACACCCCTAGAGACACCAGATGGCTGGGTGCTACTGGTACTGGCAGGGAGGTGCCACCACACAAAGCACTCTCCCCAGGAGGTGCCTCTTCCTCATGGGCAGACGACCCCCTACCCACCCAGCTGCATTCCCTTTCCACCCACTCAGGCCGTATCGGCAGAGACCAGGTAGAGCTGCAGCAGCACCAGCTCAACCAGGCTGACCAAAATACACCACAAAGGCTCTGAAGATTAAATTGCCATTGAAACCAGGGCCCACAAAGCTACACCGAGACCTACTATAAACACGGTGACGGTGCCCTAAAACAGAAGATTTAAATAGCGCCTTCACTTACATGATTCTTAAGTAACATGTAAAACCCTAGACTGAGAGCTTTATCTTTTACAATCTGAAAAGGTCATTTTCTTTTTGTAGTCAGTGCTACTGACAAGTCAGATTTACTCAGTCAATTATTATTCATTGAGGGGCCACAAAATGCCAGGAACTGGGTTTTTTCCATTTTTTTTTTTAAATTTAATTTTGGCTGTGCTGGGTCTTCATTGCTGCCCACAGGCTTTTCTCTAGTTGTGATGAGTGGAAGCTACTCTGTAGTTGCGCTGTGTGGGCATTTCACTGGGGTGGCTTCTATTGTGGAGCACGGGCTCCAGAGCTCAGGCTTCAGTAGTTGTAGCACCTGTCCTACAGGCATGTGGAATCTTCCCAGACCAGGGATCAAACCACTGTCCCCGACATCGGCAGATGGAGTCTTAACCACTGGACCATCAGGGAAATCCCAGGCACTGCCTTTAGCACTCATTGAACAAAACAAATCATTCTTTTTTTCTGTCTTGTAAGTGATCCATGTTTAGTCTCTGGAGGTTGTCAGAAGTTCTTCTTTGTTATTTATTGTTGGAGGAAGTCAACAAGAGGATGTGACCATTGGTTGACCCAAGAGCTGTTGTTTAGTTGCTAATGCTGCTGCTGCTGCTGCTAAGTCACTTCAGTCGTGTCCGACTCTGTGCGACCCCATAGACGGCAGCCCACCAGGCTCCCCCGTCCCTGGGATTCTCCAGGCAAGAACACTGGAGTGGGTTGCCAGTTCCTTCTCCAATGAATGAAAGTGAGAAGTGAAAGTGAAGATGCTCAGTCGTGTCCGACTCTTAGCGACCCCACGGACTGCAGCCTACCAGGCTCCTCTGTCCATGGGATTTTCCAGGCAAGAGGACTGGAGTGGGGTGCCATTGCCTTCTCCATGTTTAGTTGCTAGTTGGATCCAACTCTGCCACCCTGTGGACTGTAGCCTGTCAGGCTCCTCTGTCCATGGGATTTCCCAGGCAAGAGTACTGGAGTGGGTTGCCAGTTCCTTCTCCAGGGGATCTTCTCCACTCAGGAATCGAATTTGAGTGTCTTGCATCTCCTGCGCGGGTTGGTGGGCTCTTTACTAGCTGAGCCATCAGGGAAGTCAGAGGAATCTGAGTGATTTTCAAAGCAGAGAATCTATGGTGTTAAAATATGGTCAAGACCACTCCCCGTTTATCACCCTCTTCCTACCAGGTGATCTTATGTAATAACAAATCTATTTTTACCTCTGTTTTGCAGTAATCACCTGGCTGACTGCATGTATGTTCCTGCATTCGCATACATATTTGGGTGTTCATGTGAATCAGGGTGGGACAAAGGTGAATAAAATCCTTGGAGGTGGAGCTGCTTGTATGTTAGCATCCACTCCTCTCCCAGCCCAGCTGTAAGGTTACCCTGTGCTATGGTGAGTTGACAAAGATTTCCCCAGAGTGATGTCAGAGAGAGCAGAAAGGAGCACACAAGACATCAGAAAGCACCCCCACTCCCAGAGCACACCCCTGAGTCCCCTCGTGGCATCTGGTGCTTTTCATCGCTGCTACCATTCCATCCCCATCTAGACACACGTGCACACACATCCTAGGGCAGACTGTAGCCATCTGTCTCTCAGAAGGTCTCCAATTCATTTTTCATTAGTTTCTTAATTCAACAACCTCCCTCCTTCCAGAGGCACCCAGTTTGGGTTTGGGACAAGGACCTAGCCATTTGCATTAGGATGCTGCGTTAGTTACCGTTTTCTGTCTAACAATATTACTACATACTTGGTGGCTGAAAATAGCACACATTCGTTATCTCACAGTATCTGTGTATGAAGGTCCAGGCACAGCTTAGCTGGGTCCTTGCAGCGGGCTGTCAAGGTGTCAGCCAAGACTGTTTCTCATGTGAAGACTCTACTAGGGTTGATCCACTTCCAAGCATCTGGGGGTTGTTGGCAAGGGTTAGTCCTCATCTGTCTTTCTGGGCTGACAGTTTCTTGTCTTGGGGATTTCCCCAATATCACACTTGTTTCACCAATGCCAGCAAGGAGGATTCTCCTAGCAAAACAAGCATTAGAATCGTGTCACCTTTGTTGCATTTTATAGGTTAAAAGTAAGTCACAAGTCCACTCAAGGTCAGGGAGCAGGTAACACAAAGGTGTGAATACCATCAGGCTCAGATCATGGGAACCACTTTAGAAAATGGGAACTGGATAAGGAGTACCTTCTTCTTTTTGCCGTGTCTCATTGATTGCAGGATCTTACTCCCCCTACCAGGGACTGAATCTGCGCTCACTGCAATGGAGGTGAGGAGTCTTAACCACTGGGCTGCCAGGGAAATCCCAGGGGGTGCCTTATGGCAAGAACTAAAAATCTTTTCCCCCAAAGTTTTTTAAAACCATTGAAGGGTTTTAAGCAGGAATGTAACATCTTATTCTTACTTTAGAATGATCACCAGCCAGACGTGTGACTAACAAACTGGTGGGAAAGCAAACTTGACTTACAGAAATCAGCTAGGAGGCTGGTACCATACCACCAGAGAAATGTCGGTGTCTAGAACTAAGGTAATGGGGCTTCCCTGGTGGCTTAGACGTTAAAGAAACCGCCTGCAATGCAGGAAACCCAGGTTCGATCCCTGGGTCAGGAAGATCCCCTGGAGAAGGGAATGGATACCCACACCACTATTACACTAAGGTAATACTGAAGGGAAAAGAGAAACATGAACAAACTGGAGAATGATTTAAAGAATACAGTGAATAGGACTTGGTGATGAATAAGCAGTGAGAGTTGAGGATATTCCGGTTCGGGCTTTTGCAAATGATTTGTGAGCAGTGATATTATTCACTGAGAAGAGGGACAGTGTAGACAAAAATTAAAGTTTGAGGTGGGTAGATTTGTCCAATAGCTGAAAGTGAAAGTCACTCAGTTGTGTCTGACTCTTTGCGATCCCATGGACTATGTCCTTGGAATTCTCTAGGCCAGAACACTGGAGCGGGTAGCCTTTCCCTTCTCCAGGGGATCATCCCAATCCAGGGATCAAACCCAGGTCTCCCGCATGGCAGGCAGATTCTTTACCAACTGAGCTATCAGGGAAGCCCATTAACAGGATTAGAAACTAATAGTGCTCCCTTGAGAGAACACCTCCTTTGATAAATTTAATTTTTATGCTTTCAGAGAACCTGTTGCTCAAATCTGTTGAGCCAGTTGAAACTGGCTGAATCTTTTCAACTCACCCATCTCACATGGGTGAATTTTCAGTATTACAAGTAGTCTACGAACGCATGCACCTCGGGGTGCAAATACACCTATCACACTGTTCGACAGCAAAGGATGAGTTTAGGAGAAAGGAGACGAATGTGGGGAGAGCCAAGTACTGTGAACATCTTACACTGGAGTGTGTTAAGCGGGACGCCTCAGCAGCGCCACGTGCAGACCGAGCGCGGGACTTGCAGTATCGCGGTTCTTCCGTTCGCTCTCTTGCGTGTCCGCGGGATCCCGCACGAGCTAAGCGCCCGCTACTCTCGCGAGAGGGAGGCAGCCCGCGGCTCCTAGGATTCCCCCAACCACGCCACGCGTTCTCCCACCTGCTAAGGAGCGGGAGTCTGGCCGCGCCCGGGGCCTTCTGGGAGTCGTAGTTCCGGGGCCGAACGAGGCCCGCCAGCCTAACCCCCTGCTCTTGCGCATGCGCGGCCCCGCTGGCCCGAGAAGTTCATAGCCTTTGTGAGGCGGTGGTGGGGGGTGAGTTGTGGCTCAGGTGCCGGTTCTCTCTCTCGGCCTCGGCAGTGCCCCAGGGCAGCTGTCTGCAACCGATCCGGGCTGGAGTGCGCGCTTGAGGAAGGGGCGTCGAGGGCAGGAACGAGGCCCGGGGGCGCGGGATGGGCGGGCGGCTGGGGGGCTTGGTCTGCGCGGCGGCCCCTCGGCGGCGGCCGGGGCGCTGGTGCTCCGGCCGCGCGGTCCCCGAGCGGCAGCACCAGGCGCGAGCGCCCAGCCTCAGGGATGCTTGTCCCGGCTTTCCAGGTGCTAGCTTCGAGGGCCGAGCCGGCTCGGGACGGAGCGAAGCCTTTTGGAGGAGCCCCCCGAGGGGCGGCGGGAAGGAGGACCACGAGGCCTCGGGGCTTCCCGCCCCTCCGCCCCGAGAGGGCTGCGCTGGGGGGAGAGCAGAACCTTCGCGGCCGGGAGGAGGCGGTGACCATGGAGACTGATGTGGCCGAAACGCCCGGGAAGAGAGGTGAGACGGGCCGGTCTTGAACTTGTGCTGAGGGCCGGGCCCGAATCCTTCCTGATGAACGGGAGTCAGTGTTGTCCGGCTCCTTTGTCTGGGGACGGACGGGCTCTTCCAGTGAGAGTGGAGAGCTTGCTGTGGGATCCCCCCTCTTCCCACTCCAGCTGGGTGCACAGCAAAGCCTCCCTCAAAATGTGAGCGAAATGTTATTAATAGCTGCTGAGGCTTGGGCATAGCCTCTCACTTTGTCTCACACCTTCTTCTCCTGGGTGGTTATACCATCCTAGCCTCATCAGTGGGTCCGACGATTTAGCTTTTTGGTTGGCAAAAATATCTTACACATCTTCCCAGTTGGCTCAATGGTAAAGAACCCGCCTGCTAATGCAGGAGACACAGGAGAGAAAGGATCAATCCCTGAGTCTGGAAGATCCCCTGGGGAAGGAAATGGCAACCCACTTCAGTATTCTTGTCTGGGAAATCCCATAGACAGAGGAGCCTGGCGGGCTACAGTCCATGGGGTCGCAGAAAGTTGGACCCGACTGAGCACGCATGCATTTTCCACACCTGTTTTTCCACTTTGCACAAAAACTCTTTGATTTCAGTAGAGCAGATCCTTTGTCTTACAGAGGAGACACGAGGCATAGGAGTCAGTGACTGGCTTCCAGTTCTCCTAGATCAAGGCTTTCTTGGTTTGCCCTGTGACCTACATCAGATCCACGCCCCTCCCCCACCCCTGCTTGTTGGATTTTTAGGTTCTACCCCAGTCCCAAGTAATGATAATTATTTGGAGGTGGGATCCAGCAGTCCACCTTTGGACTAAGGTTGCAGGGTGATTTCTTTCAGAGCTGTTGAGCCTGTTTTTCCCATATTAATTTAATGTAGATTAAGCCTGGGGGCGGGGGGTGCGTCGGGGACTTTAATTTCCAGGCTCAGAGGGTGCCATCTTCCAGGATCTGTTAGGGTAGCAGCAACTGAATGAATTGAAACCCCGAAGAGCAGCGTTCCTGAGTTATTTCCAGATTGGGACCCCTTCAGTAGCAGTGTCTGTAAGGAGCACCAGTAGTACAGTGGCAGGAGTTGCAAATCTGCATCACAAGATACATTTGGGTCCTGTCATGACTGCTTTCTTGCCTTTAGCTCTGCCTCCCCAGGATTCTCCCTTTTCCCAAGAAAACTGCACAGAAGAGGGAGAAGTGGCAGCTTTGCGCCTCACTGCCAGGTCGCAGGTGAGTGAAAGTCTCTGCTGACTATTGAAATTCACCTTATTTCTCAGATTGTGGACACACTCTCTTCTGTTTGAAGTGGATTTGGTGGGAAATGTTTTCTACTTCTTCACAGGATCTTGTGCATCTAGTTTTATTACTCAGCAGACATGGAAGGAGCTTTGCCCTTCTTTAATGTGGCAGCTAATTTCTGTGCCTGGTATTTGGAAATGATTTTAAAAGATAATGTGGTGCACTCTTCTTAAAATGTATGTTTCAGTTAGGGGGAAACAGCATACACATGACCGTTAAGTAGGAATTTAAGAAGCACCTTAAGTGCTGGAGTGAATTATGAACATAATTATTCAGATAGGTCACAGAAGTACCGGAAAAGGAAGCCTATAGAAGGATTCTAATCAGCTCTCCAAGATGATGAATGTTCAGGTATTTTAGAGGTGAAGTGTTATCAAGTTGCAGCTTGCTTTCCAATCTCTCCCCAAGGGCTGATACTAAGAATTGTTAATAATGGGACTTCACTGGCAGTCCAGTGGTTGAGACTGCGCTTCCACTACAGGAGGCTCGAGTTCAGTCCCTAGCCAGTGAACTAAGATCCCTCATCCCTGTGGTGTGGCCAAATATATATATATATTAAAAGAGTTGTTGGATTTAAGTGGTAGTTGTAATATATGGGTGATTGGTATAATAGTCTTTCAACTTCCTTTGCATGTCCAAAAACTTTTAATTTTTATTAAACTTGGGTAGGAGAAAAGAGTTCTCCCTGATGTGTGTCATACCACAACCCAGAGATTCCTCCACTAGCCTCTCTCTTGGCTGCTTTAATCCAGAGTGTGAAAAGCGGGCCTGGCACTTTGCTACCGGTTATCAGAGTGATTTCTCAGGATCCTTAAGTACTTGGTGTCAGTTGGTTTCTTGAATGTCTTACATGAATATTGAAGATTCTATCACTCAAGAAGCCTTTTAAGTTGCAGCTAATGAAAACTCAATTCAAACTGGCCCAAGCAAGTTTATTGACAATTATAAGGGAAAATCCAGGTCTGGCAAATATTAAGTTCAGACAGTGACATTAGAACCTGTTTTTTCCATTTCAGTCATCTTTTCTTTTCTCTCTGTGTGTTTTGCATCCAGTCTTTTCTTCTAGTGCAGGCTGGCCCCTAACAAATTTAGGCTTACATCTTCCCATGTTGAAAATCAGAGGAAAAGAACATCTTCCCTTCTGGTCGTTCCAGATTCCAGAAGAACTGAAAGTTAACTCTAATGGGTATTATACCCTTCCTTGGAACATTATTTGCCAAATCTGACTGATGATCAGAGTACAGAATAGACCTGAGCACACACATGTAAACCTGTATCCCACCCGTGGGTTAGAGGTGGAGCTGGTACTGCCTGAACTGCGTGGACTAAAAGTGGCCAGGCATGGCAGCCAGAGGACAGTCAGGGTATAAGCACCAGAAGAAGGATGAATACTTAATACATTTCAACAAGAGACTAGTTTCAAGAGTTGTTACAGCTTCAGGATGGATTAAACCTTTTATGGAAATTTTGAAAATTCTCTCTGTGTCCTTTTTGTATTGCATTAGATTTTGTTTGATGCTAATATTGCAACTGTCTTTCTTATTAGAATTTGCCTGGGTTGTGAATCTTTTACTGATCAGATTTTTTTTAATGTTTTAAAATTTTGCTTACAGTACAGGTGAAAGGCACAGACATATATAGATACAAAAGTATATTATGTGTACTAACTTCATCAAGTTCAGTTTGCTACCTCTCCCTACTAAGGATATTTTTCCATATGTTTTCGTTGAACTTGAACTACTGTATTCAGACATGTAGTATACTATGTTTCCTCCCATTTCCCCACCCACCCACCCAGTCCCCAACTTTGGGGGTTTTGTCTGAATCTCTTTTTCTGTAAAGAGGATGTGTCTGTTTTAAGAAAACTTTTTATAAGGGAAATGAATTTATTCATATTAATATAATTACTTGTGTGTTTCACATTTATGTTGCTGTGTTATTTTTGTAATTCTGTTTGTTATGCTTTCTCCGTCTATATTTTTTTCTGCCTTTTGTGCAGTAGTTTGTGTTTTGTTTTTCTGATTTTTTTTGGTTTGTTTTTCTGATTTTTTTTTTTTTAATGGTTTGGAAGTTAATTTCCACTGTCAGTTTAGCTATAGATAGGCAGATTGGAGGATCAAAGTCATTTTTTTTCATAGTATCTTATCTCCTTAGTAGCTGATTAATGATTTTTACATTTTCTAAGGATGATTCCTATGTTTTTTAAGTCTCTAAGATTAGTTCCATTTTGGGAAACTTTATTTGAAATAATTTGAGACTTATGTAGCAAGTGGTAGAAAGATTTCTCATATATGTACTCCATTTAGATTCTCCAGGATTTAACATTTCACTTCTTTTATTATTTTATTTTTCCAGAATCAGGAAGTTGATGTTGTTATAGTACTATAACATACTGTTCTTATTCATGTTTCCCAGTCCCTTATTTTTCTTGATTTTCTTCCCCTTAATTTCTGCTTTTATCCTGTAATTCCTACTGTTTTCCCTCGTTCTGTCTCTAATTTGACTTGATGCTTTGTTCACTTAATTATAGTAATTTTTTAATGAAATGGAAGTGTTTCTTCTGAATACAATTTTAGCCTTATGACATTGATTTTTGCCTTTTATTTCATTATTGTTTTGAAATTTTAATATTTTTTAATTAATTTTTTCAATTACCATCAGTTATTGCTTTTTCATTTCTGTTTTGGAATTTATTAGCATTTACTTTGTTACTTTTGCAAGTGCTTTATGAATATTTAAATAGAAGTTGTTTTCTATCAAGTTATAGCATTTGGTATACTTATTTCAACAACCTGGAATATTATTCCCATTCTCTATCACTTAAAGAGAAACATTCAGTGCTGGTATGTGTCTTTTTCCAATGAGTTTTTGTATTTTGAGTGTTAGATAAACTCAGTCCTACATATGAACATTTACATTTTATATCTCTACCCTTTCTTAATCTATTGCTGTCATTTCCAGTTTAATGCTTTTTGCTTTGAATTGATTCCGTGCTTCACTGAATTTGATGCCCGTCTGTTCCACAGCTTGTCCAGTCACAAGTTCTGTGTAAATTATCTTTCAAGTTTTTTATTGAGGACTCAGAAGGAGAATTATACAGATGTGCTTTTTGTCTCTGCCTATATTTCATTTACTTTGCCAAACTGTTTTGTTGATTCATTGGATCCTGTTTTAACTCTTTATTCCCCAGAAAAAATGATAGTCTCTCAGTGCAGAAACCATGATCTTCTTTGATTCTCATGTTGGGTCTTGGACAGTGTGCCTGGCACATAATTGTTACCCAGCGACTTCACATGGAAAGTCCAGAACACATGAGAACGCTTGTCTCTCACTGTAGTCATTCCCCCTGTTGAGTACATCTACATGTTTACCCCAGGGCCAGCAGAAACTGAGAGGGAGGCTGCAGAGAGACGAATGGTGAACAGAAGTATGTTTTGTGTCTTAGGCATCAGTGACCTTCAAGGATGTGGCCATGGACTTTACCCCAGAGGAGTGGGGGAGGCTGGATCCTGCCCAGAGGGACGTGATGCTGGAGAACTACAGGAACCTGGTCTCACTCTGTAAGGACAGACTCTCGCTGTGACTCCTGACCTGCTTATGGGGACCTCACTGTTTTATTGACAGTGAAGTAGCTTAACAAAGCTAGAAATTATGTAAAGTGTTGGTCCCTTTGGGCCCAGAGAGAATCTGTTGATGCTGTAAGGTCTTGGTGAAATGTCTGGGCTTGCTTTCTTTTATTAGGAGTCTTTGGATTCAGGTGACAGAAACTGAATTCACAGTAGCTTGAAAGGGAATCAGGTACGGTGTCAGGAGTTTCTTTTATCTGCTTATTTTTTAATGACATGCCATAGGTTTGCCTGAATCTCCTTGTGGTCAGAGATGGCCTTTGGCCTCTCTAGGATTACATCGTTCTTCCCAGTTACAGAGCTGAGGAAAGAAAGAGGGCTTCTGTCCTGGGAGTTTCAGCAGATAGGTTCATGTGTCCATCATGAGACAGTTACTCAAGCCAGGGAAATAGTGAACACTCTGGCCAGTTTGGATCCTGTGTCCACCTCTGTGTGGTATGCTTGTGTGCAAGTATGTGCATGCACACACATGCATGCACATGTGTGTGTTTCTATGAGGAGTCGAAGGAACTATCTTAGCTCCTCCCAAATTATGTAATAAATTCCATAAGAAAGGGGGTTCTAGTAACTAAAGAAGAAAGAAAGGAAAACATCAAAAACAACTCATCATAGACTCATAGACCCCCAGGCTCATGGTGCTGCTGCAGGGGTCCCACTTCACCCAGCTCTTTCCCTGAGCTGAGGACTGATGAGCAGTATCTCCCTGGGACTCCCGTAATAAACAAGTGAGAAATTCTTTTTTTTTTTTTTTTTCATTTTTTACAGGCTTAATGTTTGTCTTTTCAAATGCGTGTGACTCTTTACTGTGCACAGACTCTTGCTGCGCATGTTTTAAGCTTCATTTATAGGCTTCCACCTCCGTTATTCCAGAACTTCCTATGGTGTCTTGTCTTTGTGGATCCAGGGGTTGGGCCTGTGCTCTGGGACAGAGCTTTATACCCATCACTAAGAGCTAAGTTCCTTTTTTTTTTTTTTTTTTTTTTAATTTTTCTAATGAGCAGGGCTTCCAGTTTCCAAACCTGAGAACCACAGTTTGGAGAATGGAAAAGAACCACTGCTGCTTGAGAGAAAATCCCCCAAAAGCAGCTGCTCAGGTGAGTCAGATAGATGGGGGTCTTCAGAAAGAACAGTCCCATGGGATGCTAAAAAAGTCAGGACTTCCTGGTGGTCCAGTAGTTAAGACTCCTTGCTTACAATGCAGGAGCCACGGGTTCAATCACTAGTCAAGGTACTAAGATCCCGCATGCTGTCCCTACTTGCTTATGTCAGAGATGCGACAGTACAACATGTTGAAAACTGAATGCCTGGTATGTGCCCAAATTCTCCATCCCCCTAACAGGATCCTCTTCCAATAATTGTATTAATGATACTCGCTGCTTATCAAATTGTACATGTCAGAAATCTGAACAATCTTTACATAACCCCTTCACCTTTATCCAGTTCGTCCTTGTGTTTATCTGATCACTTCTAAGTATTTCCTCACCATTAACATACCTCTGTCTCCCTTTCATCTGAGGTCATCTCCCTGACTCCACTCTTAGCCCTGTAAACTCCATTCTTCATGTGGCAGTGAGTGATGTTTTCAAAATGCAAGTCTGATGGCATCACCCTTTTGCTTAGGGCTGGTCCGTGGCTTCCCATTGCTCTTAGGATGACAGCCAAAATCCTCAAGGCCTACAGACACTTGTAAAATCTGTCCCTCACTCATAATATCCAGCCCTGCTTCATACCTACTTTCCCTCTGATTTTGTACCTTATCTTAGCAACTCTTAATGGTTTTAGCATCATTGAACCTATTTAACTCCCCAAATTGTTGAGTATCCTAGCAAGCTTTTGTTTATGTGGGTTATATCTACGAGTAGTTACCATATTAGAAATTAAAAGTGAGAAAGATCTTAAACTATTGTATGATTAATTTAGAAATAACAATTATAAACCCATCACATGTTAACACAAATAACACAATTTAAATAAAAATTATTTCTCTACAACAAAAATTTATTGAAAAGAATGGCATTGTTTTACATTTTTGCAGGTCTTTTTGTATATGGCTAATAGAGGACAGCTTTATAATTATATTTGCTTCAGAATGCAGCTTGATGTGATGCATTGTTTTGGTTGGCCTGTATGAAGAATATTGCTTCACACCAATATTTAGTTGGAAGAAGTGGGAGTGTTTTATAGCCTTTTCAGATAATTTTGGCTTTTCTCCTGATTATATACCAAAATTGGGCAAGTAGTAGTTTCCTAAAGATTAGGTGCAGGTACATCTGAAACCATATCCTTGAACTTTTCATACTCTTAAAATCTATTGATCTTTTGGAAAATTTTGGTTTACTAAGTTAGGCAGATCTTCCAAATATTGACACATTATGCAGTATTTTAAAAGCACAATTTTCAGTATCACCCCTGACCTTATCAGAAAAGCCTTTAAGTATTAGGAAACTATCAAGCTCTCGGTGGGAGGTAAAAGTTTTCCAAAATTCTAATTTCTGCCTAAAAGCTCACATTTTTTCAAATACTGTCAGTCGTTTTCTTTGAAATGGTAGGCTTATCTTTTTTTCAGTTTTGAGAGAATATCTGCCAGATACCCAACATAGATAACATAGTTGTCAGTCATTCTTTCAAGTATAAGTGCTAGTCTATTTAAAAAAGAAAAACTGACTGCTTCCACAATGGATGGTTTGCCTCAAGACAAGCACCATATTTTGATATGAGTGGACTTGCATTATGAATATTTCCTATTTCATCATCTAGAATGTTAAAAGGGTGTGTAGTCAAAGTTTAATAAATTAAAATTAATTTAATAAATTAATAATGTTTCCTGTTGTTTCCACAGACATTTTTAGGTGAAACTGGCTTTTTCTTTTTTTTTTTTTGGTTAACTGAGAGTACACAGCAGGGGAAAATGTAACAGCTACTAGTACATCTGGTGTTTGTCCTGATTTGTGCATAAGTGGTGGGCAGTTTCACCACCATTACTTTTACAACATAAATGTTGCAAGACAAACATCAAGACAATGAAAAAGACCAATAAGATCCAAGTATTATTTTGAAAACAGTTTTGAACCTAGAGACTCCCAGAGGTCCACAGACCACATTTTGAAATCACTGCCCATACTAGCATTACATCAATTTATATTTTACAAACAACTTACAAAGCACCTATGCTGTATCAGGGTCCTCAGTGTTTTATAAATATCCTCATTTAATGTTCCTTGAGGTAGGTGTTGTTTTTATTCTTCATGAAGCAGGTACTGTTTTTGCTCCATCTTACAGATAAGGAAGCTAAAGTAGAAAAGTTAAATACCTTGGGCCAGGTCACATGGCTGGAAGTGGCAGAGCTGGTTTTAAATTCAGACGTTCTGATTTCAGAGTCCATGCTCTCAACTGCTGTGCTCTTCTTAAGTACTGCCTCTCACCTTGGGGCTTCTGTACATATCATTTCCTCTACCTAGAAGGCTCACTTCTGCATCTGTACCTGTTATCTGGAACACTCACCCGGACCCCAGCTCCACTTGGATTTCAGCTCAGTGATTTACCTTCTCAGGGAGGAGCCCCCCCCCCCACCCCCCTGGATTCCCCTTATAATCTTTCACAGCATCATTTGCCTTTTATTTCTTACTACGGTGCATTTTTTATATGGATGTCAGACTAAATTTTTTTCTCCCCTTGTGTACATAGGGACTGTTTGTTTTTCCCCGGAGCCTAGCATATCCAATAGATAATCATTGAATGAACGGATAGATAGATAAATGAACAGAGTTCATCTGACTATGTGGAATGAGGGACAGGTCTAACTTGTCTTCTGAGTGTTTAATAAGTCACAGGACCATTTGCTTTAAAAACCAATTATCTTTAGTTCACTGACTGAAATTCCACCTTTGTATTGTCCTTAATTCCTTTTTATACTTGACTGTTTCTGAAATTGCTCTTCTGTTTCATTTTCTGTTGTTTGTTGTTGTTTAGTTGCTAAATCATCTCTCTTTTGCGATCCCATTAACCCACCAGGCTTCTCTGTCCATGGGCTTTCTCAGGCAAGAATACTGGAGTGGGTTGCCATTTACTCCTCCAGGAGATCTTCCCAACCCAGGGATTGAACCCGTGTCTCCTTCATTTCAGACAGATTCTTCACCACTGAGCCACCTGGGAAGTCCACCTATCAAGCTACCAGACTTTTTTCCTACCAGACCTTTTTTTAGGCAACCAAGAATTTATCTAGTCAAATGGATTTCACTGAACTACTTATTTATTCTTTGGAACTATACTCTTTATAAATTATCTTAGCTTTATAATTTCATTTTCAACACAAAAATTCTGATAAATATATAGTAGATATATTCAGAGAGGTTGGCTACTGCCCCTGCTGTCTTGTATTCTGGCGCTCTTTCTGTAGGTAATCTTACTTATTAGTATTTCATGTATCTGTCCTTGACTTTGGAAAATGTAACCAAATGTGTCGATAATATCTATATCTCTCAAAGTAGCAAACCAAACACAACACACTCCTTTCCAGTTTGCTGGGGCTTCTTAAGTCTATTTAATGTATCCTGAAGATCACCTCCTAGCAATTATGTAGTGATCATTCTCCTATTTTTTTAAGTTGCACATACTCCATTGTGTGTATACACCATGATTTAATCAGTTCTCTATAGAATATTTGAGATGTTACCAGTTTTGCTACCTCAATTAGTGTTGTAATGTGTAGCCTTGTGCAGGTATAATTTAATATATTTGCCATTATATCTTAGGGAGGTCATAGATTTTTGAATGGGGACATTATAAATGCATTCTTAGGGGATATTTTAAACTGAAAATGGAGTGCATAGTAGGATTGAGTAGGGCTGGGTGTCTGGAAACTTAGAAGTCATCACTGTGCCTGCACCAAGGTGGTGACTGCCTGGCTGTTTCTGATAGACAGCACTTGATGTTCTCTGAGAGGTTGTTCCTCCCCTGTCTTGATCTTTGATACTCATTTTCTGCTCATCCAGCAATATAGCACTTCCTCTCCATCCTTCCTCTTGTCTTTCTGGTCATCTTTTGCCCTATTCTGCCTCCTGGGTCAGATGGTGTACTGATTTATCTGCATACTCTGCACATTCGTTCCCCTCCATTTGCTTCTCTTTGCAAATCATCTTCCAGGAGTCAAATCTACTTCCTCATTGAAGCCATGCTTTTCACCTTCATTAACTTTGACCTGTTACAGAACTGCCATTTTGTCAAACTCAGAGGACGAAGGAAATTTGCATTTCCAATTTCTTTCAGACTCGGAGACTAGTCCCAGAAGCAAGGATTCAACTTCAGTGCAAGATTTTTCCAAAGAAGAATCATGCCAGGTTGCAGTCATAGACAGGCTGACAAGGGACAGTGTCTGTGACTCCAGCACAGAAACAACTCTCGACTGTGAAGGGTGGTTGGAGAATCAGCAGGGAAGTCAGGAGAGACACTGGAGAGGAATGTTCACCCACATGAATTCACTCCCAGAAGAGAGAGCCCCTGAGCATGATGTTTACTGGAAAAACCTAGGCCAGAAGTCAGTCCTTCTCACTCAAGACAGAGTTCCCAAAGGACCCTATGCCTTCCACACCCTAGAAAAAAAACTGAAACAGAAATCTACCTTAATGAAAAAGCAGAGGACCTATAAAGAAAAGAAACCTCATAAATGCAGTGACTGTGGTGAACTCTTCACTTACCACTCAGTGCTCATTCGACACCAGAGGGTCCATACAGGGGAGAAGCCCTACAGCTGTGCAGACTGTGGGAAATCTTTCAGCCACAGGGCTAATTTAACCAAACATCAGAGAACTCACACAAGAATTCTCTTCGAGTGCAGTGAGTGCAAAAAAGCCTTCACCGAAAGCGCATCCCTTGCCATTCATCAGAGGATTCACATTGGAGAGAGACCATATGAGTGTGGCGAGTGTGGGAAAGGCTTTAATCGAAGCACCCACCTTGTGCAGCACCAGCTGATCCATACAGGGGTGAAGCCCTATGAATGTAACGAGTGTGATAAAGCCTTCATTCATTCCTCAGCGCTCATTAAACATCAAAGAACTCACACCGGAGAGAAACCTTACAAATGCCAGGAGTGTGGGAAAGCCTTTAGCCACTGCTCATCACTTACCAAACATCAGAGGGTTCACACCGGAGAAAAACCCTATGAGTGCAGCGAATGTGGGAAGACCTTCAGTCAGAGCACACATCTTGTCCAGCATCAGAGGATTCACACGGGAGAGAAACCCTACGAGTGTCACGAGTGTGGGAAAACCTTCAGCCGGAGCTCCAATTTCGCTAAACATCAAAGAATTCATATTGGCAAGAAACCATACAAATGTAACGAGTGCAGCAAAGCCTTCATTCATTCGTCAGCCCTTATTCAACACCAGAGAACTCATACTGGGGAGAAACCCTACAGGTGTAACGAGTGTGGGAAGAGCTTTAAGTGCAGTTCATCCCTCATCAGACATCAGAGGATTCACATGGAAGAGCAGCCCTGAAAAATGACTTGAGTGCAAAGGAATCTAAGTTGGTGTTATTGTGTGTTAAATATCTGAATGGTTTAGGAAGAAGACCCAAAAGATGCTGCCTGAGAAACAGTTCTGTGTGCATCTAATTCTACTCACATAATACAATAGTTTTGAGCCATAAACAGAATGTTTCTTCTATCCATTGATTTGATCATTCTGAATGCTTCCAGCCAGAAATCTCAAAGGTTGATCCCTAAACTACCACCCCGCTACCCACAATGCTCTTTTTTAGAAATTCAGAAAGTCCTTGGGAGTGGGTAGCAATACAGTCATTGTGAAGTCCAGTTCCCCCTCTTTGTCACGCCAAAGCCTGTTACTGCATCTCACTGTGTAAGGACATCCTTATCTTGTAGGTGAGGCTGAGGGTTCATATCCTCACTTATCAGGAAGACACAGCTGTTTATTTTCAAATCCAAAGTGGACACCCAGCTATCTGGAGAATGTCATTTCTTTTACATTAACTATAAAAATTTAAAGATTAGAGTTGAAATACACTCTGGCTTCCCTCCCAGCCCCAAAGGCTGCTGTCTCAATTGATGAACAAATGGGGTCTGAGTTACACCCACATGGATTAGGCTGACACTTAGATGGTTATTACCCCTCTGCTGGGTACATCCTCACTTCACACTTCCTTGAAAGTGACCTTGAGATAGGGAAAGAGTTGGAACCTTAACTACAGTTTTTTTCAGGTCCCTCTTTCCTTATCTTTGACATTGAATAAATCCTTGGTTTTCTGTAACTGCAGAATTAGGGAGATTTCACTCCTTTACCTCATTCTGCTCTGTGTAAAGTAAGTTTTGTCACTTTGAGAAAAAGCCCCTGGGATATGGAGAGTCTAGAAAGTTGACTGATTCACTGTGCTGTTCCATTTAGAGTCCCAGGCAAGAAGAAGACCTGGAGCAGCTCTGAGGCACAAGAAATATATCCTCAGACCTCACATTATGCACATTTTTTGTCATCGTTCTCCTGTGTATTGGTCTTTGTTGTATCCCAGAGCCCTGGAGAAGGTAGAAAAGGCACAGAGCCACACTGATCTTGACATAAGTTTCGTGGGTGACCAAAGACCTTGTAGTGGGATGGAAACACAAAAGCAAGAGTTCAAATAAATATTTAGCAGGGCACCACACAAAAGTCTTGTTATAGACTTTTTATTTTATTGTTACAGAGACTAACAAACTGTGAAAAGAAGATTATAGAAAAGAGAGAGGAAACAGTTGCAGATTTCCTCTTCTCCTAAATCCTGTCCTTGATGAACACTCAACAGCCAGCCCATGCTTTTCCCCTCCACATTATCCCCATTACTCCTTACAGTTCTCATCGTTCCCTCCGTATACCTTAGTTCTATCATTGAGGAAAAGGAGAGGAAGAGTTTAAAGTGGGGGTAATAGAAATCAAGGTTAGGTCTAAAGCCAGCAATAATGGAAACCAAAACAATAGGAAATAGAGTGTAAAGGACTAAGGACAGGCTTTGAAAAGAATTTTTTAAAAAAATCTTTTAAAGAGGTGGAACTCTTGAGAGATGAAACTAGGAGAATGGCTGACATAGGACAAAATAAAAAGGAGCTCAGCCCTCTCATCACTTGATACTCAGATTAACAACCTGAAGCAGGAATTGACAAACTGGCCTGGACCCACCACCTATTTCTGTAAATAGTGTTTAATTGGAACTGGGCCTCACTCATTATTTACATGTCATGTGTAGCTGTTTTTGTACTAAAATAGTGGAATTAAGTAGTTAAGGCAGAGACTTCATGTCCCAAAAAGCCTGAAATACTTGCTGTTTCTCAACATTCCAGGTGTTTGAGTGAGACAAAGTTCACTCTTCATTTGGCGGCCAATACTTGGCTAACACAAGATTAGTGGGTTTGAATTCTATCACCTCCACTTGGCAATTATGTGACTGAAAAGCTACTTCTTTCTGAGCCCCAGTCTTATCTGTGAAATGGGAACAGGTCATCCCTTAAGGCTCTTGTGAGGCTAAGACTGCAGGTAGAGAATCTAGCACACAATTACTCTTTTCTCTCATTAGTTTCCAGGAGCCAAAATCCATGGGTGCTCAAGTCCCTTACAGAAAATGATGTAGTACAGTTGGCCCTCCGTTTCTGAGGCTTTTGCATTCTCAGATTCAACCAACCATGGATGGAAATTTGCATCCATGGTTGGTTGAATCTGCTGATGCAAAACAAAATAAAGAGGGCAGGTTGTATTTATTTAAAACATGCATGTAAGTGGACCTGTGAAGTTCAAACCTGTGCTATTCAAGGAAGGATTGACTTAACATATTTTAATGAAGTGGTGAGTCAGTTTAGTCTGCTGTAATGAAATGTCACTAAGTGGTTTGTTTATAAACAACTGTCTCACAGTTCTGGAGACTGGAAAGTCCAGGATCAAGACCCTGGTAGAATGTCTGATGAGGCCCCTTCCTGGTCCACAGATGGCCATCTGTTTGCTGTGTCCTCCCATGGTGGAAGGGCTGGGAAGGTCTCTGGGGCCTCTTTCATGAGGGCATGTTTGTGAGGACTCCCCTCATGACCTCATCACCTCCCAAAGGTCCCGCTTCCAAATACCAGCACTTTGGGGATTAGGTTTCAAGGTGAATTGGGGGTGGGGGTGGGGACACAAACATTCCATCTATTAACAAGTGGCTGAGCATCAATCAGAAGTACTTAGTGTGTTTTCCACACCCTTTTGTTTATTGATCTAGAGCTGACCACCCTGTACATCAGTAGAGAAGGGCTTCACAGCTCTCTGCTCTTGCTCCATCCCACACAGCCTCCTGGAGACCTCACGGAATCTGCCTTTTTTCCCTCTAAGTATCACATAACCAGGAGCTGTCCCATATGTCTTCTAACTGCAGTTTAGGTCAAGGGACTTGGTCTAAGCTAGTTTTACTAAGAGCTCTGGCCCTTTTCATATCAGTATTTGTTCCTTTTATGCTTAAGAGTTTAATCTGACTGCGTGTTTGTACTCCCACGGGAATCTTGGAAGTTTTAGTGTCCTGCTTTTCAAATGTTTTTGATTATCTGTAAACTAAATTTGATTGTTCTTATTGGCCTACTGTCAATAAAGATATCGTTTGTATATTTGTTGTCAGAAACTTTTGTAAAATACTTTTAAATTCTCATTTAAGCATGTTTTGAGAACTAAAGAAAGACCAACTATAAAATATCTCCACATTGAGGAAACTGATTGCATTTCTAATTGTTAAACTGGGCTTAATAACCTCTATCCTAGAGAAGGTGAAAGAGCCAAGGAAGATTATTCCTACCAAGTGGTGCTCAGGCCAAGTATATCCCTCACTTAGGAGTGATGGGGAGACCAGGGAGGGAAGGACTTCATGTAAAAAGTACAATTAAAACTAAGCTAAATACACTGTTGGGCCAGACACAGAATAATCCATACATACTGAATGCACACGTTTATAACACACGGGATGCTAATCTGTGGGGTTGAAAATTAGATGATCCTTAGCTTTGGCAGGACAGAATGGGTAGTGTTTATGGAGGTCGAGGAGAGGAGCCTCTGAGTTGCTAGTTTTATTCTATTTTCTTACACTGTGTTGTAGTTACAAAGGTGTGTTCACTTCCTAATAAGTCACTAAGCAGTAGAGTTATGATTTCTGTCCTTTCTGCTGTATGTTATACTTCAAATAATGCACTTGAATACATTTTGTAATTAAGGTAAATAATACAAAGTATAATAAGAGTTTGCAATCTTATTTCCATTTCATGGAAAACAGTCACCAGAAGGACTCCAAGATTAAGTACCGTGGGCCCAGGGTTCAAGCCCTGGTCGGGGAGCTAAGATGCCAGAAACTGTTGGGGGGGAAAGGGGTGGGGTGGGGGGGCTGGTATTAGAGTTAACAGTCTCACCATTGAGGGAAGCTGCTCGAGAAACCTTGAGGATTCTATGTGACCCAATGTGGAAATATGGCCTTTGGGCATCAAAACCGTGGAACTGAGGCAAAGGAAAGAAAACGTGCTTTAAATAATGTCAACATTTATTATTAGGATGGGCCAAGGAAAAATTCAAAGATCCAGAAATTAAAATGAAGGCATGATTTTTCGACCAAGAAACTGAATGAGGCAGATACAGGTGGACACGCAATACCCAATTCCCCCATCCCTAACCCTCAACCCCCGCGCGCGTCTGGGGCTTTAATTAGTTGCATGAAGCTTCCCTTGTGGCTCAGATGGTAGCCTGCCTGCCATGCAGGAAACCTAGTTTCCATCCCTGAGTTGGGAAGATCCCCTGGTGGAGGACACGGCAACCCACTCCAGTATTCTTGCCTAGAGAATCCCATGGACAGGGGAGCCTGTTAGGCTACAGTCCATGGGGTCGCAAGAGTCTGATATGACAGCGACTCACACTGTGTTCTCTCAATGGCTTTATTTCTTTAGACAAATGGAAGTGCTCAGAGGCAAGGGCTGTGTCATTCTTTGTATCACTAGTTTTAGTACTCGACACACAGTCGTGATGTTTCAATCTGACCAAACTTCTTAGGTCCACAAACTGCCTACGATGTGGACCTTCTTAGGTCCACAAACTCCCTAACCAAAGCAGAGAGGAGATGCAAGAGCAGGGCGGCGGCGCGGAGAATTCTGGGCGCCGTGGTCCCCGCCGGCTGCGCAGGCGCACTGCCGTCCGCGGTCGCTCTCGCCGCCGGCGCCATTGCTGGAAGCGCTCACGCCCTGCTCTGAGAGCGCCTTGTCCTCAGGCGGCCGCCAGGTACTAGTTGCCCTGGCGCCCGGCCGGGTCCCCCTCACCCCTCCCTCGGCGCTCGGCTCCAGGCGGCATCGGGGGCGGAGCCGCTTCCGGTGGGGCCTCGGGCCTGGAGCTGACCCGCCCACCTCTGAGGCGGCCGGGGTCGGGCTACCTCAGAAGGCGGAGGCCTGGAGGCTCTGGGAGAGGGAGC